ACATCTCTCACCTGCCTTCTCGACCTTCACCTTAGTACATTGGTTCGGTCAATGCTGCTGTACAAGCTCATGTGTCTCATCCTGTTGGGGAGCCTTCCACTTTCGACACATCAGTTTTGGATAGCCCAGGTTTTTCATTTGAATGAACAAAGAAGTTTTTAGTGAAGGAAGATTTGACTCAATTGAGCTCACATCCTTCATCTGAGGTGGCAAAAATGTTGTTGCATGATCTTGGCAAGGTTAGCTCCTGACCACTTTGACCACTTTTTTTTTTTTACCTTGTAACTTGCATTTTTGTAGTGCATCACGCATGCTGTCTGCTTATCATCTTGAGCTGTGGAAGTGGAAAAATCATTCCGTGAGGAGATGGCTTCTCTTCATACCAAGGACCAAAATCAACTTGATTTGGTTACTATGGAGCTTAATGTAGAGAAAGATGCGCGAGTTAAAGCTGAAGCTGCCCTTCAAGAAGAACGAGTTAGGGCTAAAGGACTCAAATCTCAAGTGGAAAGACTTACTAGAGAGATAGCACTGGCTAGGTCATCAACTATTGATGAGTACAAGGCTTCCCATAGCTTCAGAGTGGCCCAAGCTAGGATGTACATCGACGGTTTTGAAGCTTTTCGAGCTCAGGCCATTTCTGATTTTCCGAGACTAAACTTTTCTTCAAATAAATTGGAGAGTGATAACGAGGTTGATGGCTAGCTCAATCTCTTCAATTCAGTTAGAGAGTGATAGCGAGGTTGATGACTAGCTCAATCTCCTATCTTTTTTCCTTTTAGTTTAGGACTCCTTATTGTACCGAGTATTGTTTAGTTGGGTTTCGTCGTTCTTCTAATGGTAGAAATGCACTTCTTTTATCATAAAATGGTGTTGTTTGAACTTCCGTGCTTTGCCCCTTAACTTTTAATATTGAAGTAGACATCATATACTCATACACACACACACATATATATATAGAATGAGTTTTACGAGCTTCACCCAGCTTGCCCTTTAATAAGGGAATGAGTTTTACGAGCTTCACTCAGCTCGGCCTTTAATAAAGGAATGAGTTTTACGAGCTTCACTCAGCTCGCCCTTTAATAAGGGGGTAGAGTAGCTTGACTTCACCTTTTATCAAATATTTTGTGCTCATTTTATTGATGTATTATCAATAGTAAAAGAGTCTAAAAAATGAATGAGATCATAATAAAAACCATTAAAGAACACCATTAGAAGAAGACATGATATCCCTTTTTATTGGAAAGTGAAATTATTCAGAGAGAACATAGATAAAGCTATGCTATCAAGCTAGCTCTTCTTTTTTAATAAATAAATAAAATCAGCCACACAAATCTTTTACTGGTAGTACCTCCTTAAATGTTCAGCATTCCAAGGGTGCTCCATCTGATGCCCTCCCAAAGTTTCAAGCCAGTATGCCCCGGTCTGTTGGTGCTAATAACCTTGTAAGGTCCTTCCCAACTATCGGACAACTTCCCTTCCCCTCGGGTTTTAGTTGCTGGGGTGATTTTGCGAAGTACCAAGTCTCCAAGTTGAAATCTTCTTGGCTTGACCTCGGCATTATCGTATCTAGACACCATTTGTTGATAAGCTACCGTTCGAATCTGAGCTAGTTCCCTTCTTTCCTCAATTAGGTCTAAGCTCAATAGTAATTCTCTCTCATTTGCTCGTGGCTCGTAATGCTCAGTCCTAAAACTGGTTACACCGACTTCAGCAGGAACAACTGCTTAATTTCCAAAGGCCAATAGGAATGGTGTTTCCCTTATGGGGGTTCTTGCAGTTGTACGGTAAGCCCACAACACGCTGGGCAATTCTTCAGGCCATGTTCCCTTCTTATCCTTAAGCTTCTTCTTTATCATCTGAAATATCGATCTGTTCGCCACCTCAGCCTGTCCATTTGCTTGAGGATGTCCAGGTGATGAGTAGTGGTTCTTTATCCCTAGTTGAGCACAAAAATCCTTAAACTTTGTGCAATTAAATTGCTTTCCATTATCTGTGACAAACACTCTTGGGATTCCAAACCTGCAAATGATTAACCTCCAAGCAAAATTTCTTTTGTTCGTCTCTGTAATACTTGCTAGTGGCTCAGTTTCTATCCACTTGGTGAAGTAGTCTATAGCCACAATGGCATACTGGACCTGGCCTTTTCCCATGGGCAATGGACCTATAAGGTCCATTCCTCATTGTGCGAAAGGCCATGGACCCGTCATGGGAGTCAGCTCTTCAGGTGGTTGTTTTGGAACATTGGCAAACTGTTGACATTTATCACATTTTTTCACATAGTCCATAGCATCCTTTTATATAGTAGGCCAATAATACCCTTGTCGGATAGCTTTGTGTGCTAAAGACCTACCCCCAGCGTGATTACCACAATCTCCTTCGTGTATCTCCTTTAGAATGTACCTTGCCTCCTCAGCTGAGACGCAACACAGGTAGGGTAAAGAAAAACCCCTCTTATACAGCACCCCTTTGATGAGGGTGTACCTTGCTACTCGAATTTTAACTTTTCGGGCCTCATTTCTATCTTTAGGAAGTTCTCCCTCCTTAATGTATTTTATAATAGGCTCTGCCCATCCCATGTTGAGCACCAACTGTTGTACCTCCTTTTGAACTTCTTAAAGTGTACTCGGCTTATCCAGGTACTCTAATGGTATTGCCCTGTTCACCTCTGGGTTTAACGCGGTAGCCAATTTAGCTAGAGCATTTGCATTTGCGTTTTTTTTCACGTGGGATCTGATGGATTGAAAATCTTGTGAAATGATTTTTTAATTCTTCTACCTTTTTTAAGTAGGCCTTTATTTTCTCATCTTTGGCTTCGTATTCTGCTCGGACTTGCCCTGCTATCAATTGAGAATCTGTGTATGCTATGAGTTGCTCCACCCTGAGGACTTCTGCCAGTTTTAACCCAGCTATGAGGGCCTCATATTCTGCTTCGTTGTTTGTTGCTTTAAAGCCAAACCAAAGGGCATAGGCAATGTTTTCTCCTGCTGGGGAGGTGATAATCAACCCTACTCCATTAGCATGTGCATTTGATGACCCATCAACAAACACAGTCCAAGTAGTTTTTTTGTTCGTTTGAATCTGAGGGTTTGTTTATGGGGAAATGTTGATCTGGTCTTCTTGGGAAGGTGTGAACTCAGCAACAAAATCTGCTATCACCTGAGCTTTTATTGCAGTCCGGGGTCTGTACTGGATGTCAAACTCCCCGAGTTCTATTGACCACTTCATAAGTCGACCTGAAGTCTCTGGCTTGTGGAGAACATGCCTTAGAGGTTGGTCCATTAGTACCACTATCTTGTGAGCTTGGAAATAAGGCCTGAGTTTCTTAGCTGACACAACTAAGGCAAATGCTAATTTCTCCATTTTCGGATATCTTTCCTCGGCACCCCTAAGTGCCCGACTTGTTTAATACACCGGCTTCTGAACCCCATCCTCCTCTCGCATTAGAGCTGAACTTACGGCTGATGAGGAGACAGCAAAATGTAAATATAAGTCCTCTCCTACTGTTGCTCTTGACAGAAGTGGTGCTGAGAAAAGGTATTCCTTTAATTATAGAAACACCTGCTCACATTCTGGTGTCCATTCAAATGCTTTTTTGAGGGTACCAAAGAAAGGTAAAAATCTATTAGTTGCTCGAGAAATCAGCCTACTCAGGGTAGCAATCTTCCCCGTGAGTCGCTGGAGATCCTTCGTGGATTTGGGTGACCTCATATCCAGAACAACTTGGATCTTTTCTGGATTAGCCTCTATTCATCTTCTGCTTACCATATACCCAAGGAATTTCCTTGAGGCAACTCCGAAAGCACACTTGCTGGGGTTGAGTTTCATCTTATGCTTCCTCAACACTTCGAAGGTTTCCCATAGGTCTGCTAGGTGATCTTCAGTCTTCCAACTTTTCACTAGCATGTCGTCCACGTAGACTTCCATGTTCCGTCCGATTTGCTGCTTGAACATCATGTTGACTAACCTTTGGTATGTTGCTCCTGCATTCTTTAACCCAAATGGCATGACCTTATAACAATACAAACCCCGATCAGTAATAAATGAGGTTTTTTCTATGTCCGGCTGGTATATTGGAATCTGGTTATATCCGGAGTATGCATCCATGAAGCTCAGTAGTTCATGTCCCGCATCAATACGTGGGAGAGGAAAACTATTTTTTGGGCAGGCCTTGTTCAAGTCTGTAAAGTCTACGCATAATCTCCACTTCCCATTGGCTTTCTTTACGAGGACCACATTTGACAACCAGTCAGGATAATGTACCTCTTGAATAAAGTGAGCTCTCAAGAGTTTCTCCACCTCTTCCGATATAGCATGGTTTCGTTCAGAGGCGAATGTCCTTCCTTTTTGTCAGATGGGTTTAAAGCTGGGATGAACATTCAAATGATGTTGTATTATGGCCGGACTTATGCCGGGCATGTACTCGTGAGTCCAAGCGAACACATCCTGGTTTTGCTTGAGAAATTGAATGAGTTCACCCTTTATGCCAGGTTGAAGCAAGGATCCTATGCTCACTTTCTTCTTAGCCTCATCATCCAAGCTCACCTCCAGTAGGTCTTCCATCGGTTCGGCTCGTCGAACTTTTTACTTTTCTACCTCCTCCTGGCCTCTTACCTCTAACCCTTCAATTATCATAGTTTCCTGGGACATCTTTTCTCTGAGAGAAGTGAGATAGCATTCTCGAGTAGTGGCTTGGTCACCCCTCAACTCACCCACCCTATGCTCTGTTGGGAAACGCATAAGAAGGTGGTGAGTTGAAGTAATGGTTCTAATAGAGTTTAGGGCTGTCCTCCCAAGAATAATGTTATACGCTGAAAGGCAATCCACCACTATAAAATCAACCATAAAAGTGACTTGCTTTGGGCTGGTTCCTGCAGTCACTGGAAGGGTAACTACTCCCAATGGATACACCTTATCTCCTGAAAACCCCACGAGAGGAGAATTCATGGGTCGTAACCTTTCCCGGCCTATCATCATTTGGTCGAATACATGGGAAAATATTATATCAGTTGAATTCCCATTACAATAAGTATACGCCTTATAGTGTAGTTAGCTACGACCATGGAGACAACTAGAGGATCATCATGGGGTTGCTGGATCCCTTTAGCATCAGCCTCTGAAAACATAATGGTAGTATCAGCATACCTTAGTGTTTTTGATGGAGAGTTGAACATTCCCACCTCATTCACCTCTGTTCTTGCTCTTCTTACATAAGTTTTTCGGGTCGTGGCTGTTTCACCTCCTCTTGCATACACTCCAGATATGACTCTGATCTCACCTACTGGTTGTTGTTTTGGTGGATGATTGTCCCGCCTCCCTTGTGCGAGATTAGTACCTCGTCTATCATCTCCCGCTATAAACCTTCGCAGGTGACCCCTTCGAATCAAATTCTCAATCTGATCTTTTAAGTCGATACAATCCTCCGTGATATGCCCATGATCTCTATGGAACCTGCAATATTTGTCTCGAGGCCTTCTTGAGGGTTCAGATTTCAGCTTCGATGGACACTTCAGGGAGGGATCATCCTGAATCTGCATTAAAACTTGATCTATAGACATAGTGAGCGGGGTGTAGTTGGTATACTTATCTGAGCTTTTGTAATGAGATGCCCTTTCACTTTGATTGATTGAAGACTTTTTGAATTTGGTCTCCTTCTCGTCCTTGGCACCAGGCTGTGGTCTCTTTTTATCCGCCTTTTTATCTTCTCCTTCTTTCCTCTTTCGCGCACTCATTACATCCTCTGTATTCATATGTTTCCTGGCTCTGACTAGTAATTCTGCCATACTGGTTGGAGGTTCTTTTGACAAGGAGAAAAGGAATCTAAATGTATGCAATCCTCCCATGAAGGAGGTTAGTGCTACCTTGTCATCAGCTTCATCCATTTGTAGCATTTTGGTGTTAAACCGATTGATATATTCCAGTAATGGTTCTCCCTTCTGTTGTTTCACGGTGAGCAGGTGAGTGGCTAGCCTCCTGTGCCTTTGACCTGTAATGAAATGACTTACAAATCCCTTGCTCAACTCTGCAAAGGTCTCGATTGAGCTTGGTTTTAATTTATTAAACCAGACCCATGTCGACCCTTTGAGGGTAGTAGGAAAGGCCTGACACATTATCTAGTCTGGTACAACTTAGAGATGCATAAGTGCCTGGAAAGTCTCCAGGTGATCAAGAGGATCACAAGTCCCATCAAAGCTTTCAAGTGTTGGCATCTTGAACTTACTAGGTAATGGACATCTCATGATAGTCGAGCTAAATGGCAAATTTATTTTTTGAACAAGGTCGTCTATGGTGGTAGCGGAGCCTTTTCCCCTCATAGCTTGCATCACATCTTCCATCTTGGCATTGAGGTTCTGGATCTGTTGGTCGATGTGGGTGACCTCCTCAGTCCGTTCACCAACGTAGGTAGAGGTTAATGGCCTAGAGCTACGTGGGGGAGATGGGTGACCTGCCACCTTATGCTGATCAGCAATTTGGCTATGCTCTGCAAGAGCCTCCTCATGGGAAGGCTCGTTATCTTGCACCTCATGATTTCCCTCCTCAGCATTTAGGTTGGGCTGATCTTGAGGTGGGATTTCGTTATGGTGATGACCTTACCCTTGAGGTGGGTTTCGGGGAATAAAACGTTGTAGGATCATTGCATTTTGTCGAATTAGCTCATTCATTCCCTGATTCAGGGTTTGCATTTGTTGTTCCAACGCTGCAACGCGCTCTAGGTCATTTGGGATGTGAGGGGGTTCCCCCTGTACTTCCTCCTCACTAGAGGCCTGCAATGATGTTCCTTCACCGCGCTGAAATCTGGATCGTAAAACCATAATCCTTTTTTAAAAAGAACTATAACAAGTTTCCCACAAACGGTGCCAACTGATGAAGATTGGTCTGCAACGATCCGAAACGACAACGTTTTCTCTTGACACCGGTGCGATGCCTGCCAAACGAGCTCCGATGGCTAAGTCAGTTTGCAGATAAAAATAAGCAAATCATGAAGTGAAGTTCAATATTGCACGTACCCTTTTAGTTGATGGGAGTCTGTTTTTTATAGCTAACTGAGCCGAGTGTTTGTTGCAATCTTTAAGAAGAGGTTTTGTCGGTAATTTGAATTTCATATAATCAGATCAAAACAACCTTTCGAATCTTATCACCTCATCACCTTATCATCTTTTGTTGATTTCCTCATCACATGATTAAGACCCATAATAATGGCGTTATAGACGAATTACAGTGGCCAGAGACGAAGAAGATGACCCACAGCAGGAATAAACCGGCTTAATTAAGAAGGAACCGACTCAGTTCCTGAATGAGCTAGCTCAGTTGAGTTGATAGAGTTGACTTTTTTGAAAAGAAGCTGACTTAGTTAGGGAAAGAGCTAACTTCTTTTGAGAAGAAGGCGACTCAGTTGGTTTAGGACTGGGATTTGTAGATTTTGATTTCTAATGTTGTTGTAGTCTGTTTTAATTGATTTAAATATTTTATATGGACTGATTAAATACCCAGAATACATAATAAACATTAATATGCAATAATATAAAATGTAATGGAATTTAAATAGACTGTAAGTTAATTATGTGGTGTTTATATTCCTTTATTTGTTATAACAATTGTGAAGAGGTGGAAACATGAGCTAACCTAAGCCGTGCCAAATCCAGCTCATGGCGCCCATCCAGTCTATTCCTTCATCGACCTTAAGGCCCAAGGGACAGGCCCAGTCCGTGTAGAAACCAAGTTAGCATGACCGGGCCTCTATTTGGGTCAATTTAGGCAGATTGGCCCTCTGACTCAGAAGAAAAATATAGAAAATTAGGGCATAATGTAAACTGATATAAATAGAAGTGAGAGAGGAATAAAGAGGCAGGTTGTTTGGAGTGTAAGAAAATTATTTCCTAATAGAGAATCACATTTTCTTGCATCTTCATTTGGCGTTGTATGTGGGAAACGAATAAGAAGATCTACTAATTTCAGCAATGAATGACACAGCTCCAATCGGGAACCATGATCGAAGAAGGATGCTCTCGTCAAGAGAAATAGGGTAAGCGAGTTAGGCACGATGAGTTGATGTAGATCGTTGAAACTCTACGATGAGAGAACGCCGAGCTCAGATCCAGGATGGAATGAAGGGAAGCGCCATCACTCCCTCGCCCACTGATGTGTGTGGAATTGTTCAATTATAAAATACCACTCGTAATAGAATGAATCATTTACAGGATAAGGCTACTTAGAGGGTGTCGAACCTCAAGGATTATGGTGGTTTATCAAGTCTTCAATTAATACTATTTTAATTTAGAAAGAGATTTTGTTTATTGTGTTGTGATTCAATAACATAAACAAAATTAAACTAAGTAAAGGACTGAGATCAGAGAGAGAAGATCTTAGGGATTAGCTTCACCATGAACCTCATACTATGGTCAACTGTTCAACCTCGGGATTTCAACACTTATGTATAATATGGAATTAAACTTAATAACATTCGTTTAATTCAGATATAAAGAAAGATGCTTCATGAATTTCAATTATTAATAACCTAGCTTCGATTGGCATGAATTATCTACCAACCTACTTCTAACTAATGTTGTAGTATAACTCGTCTTCCCTAGGCATAGACGCTAAAAACATTCATTCACGAAAAATGTTTGAACACCATTGCATGATCTCTATTCTTATTGTCCGAGATGCCCTTAGCCGCCAATCTCGCACACTAAGAATAGGTTGAATATAATTTAAGAAGAATTAAATCTAAGATAATGTATTAATTTATCAAAAACTAATATATTTCATTAAAATCCTAATTGCTTAGAACATCTAAGTCAATTGCTCAAAATCATGCTATCAAAATACATTAACAGGTAAAATCCCAAAGTATAGAACAATCAAACCATAGTAATCAGAGTCGGGTTGCATCAATGCCTTAAGAGAGGATTTAGCTACTCATGACGATGGAAGATATCATCTATGTTGTTATGGACTTCATCATCATGGACCGCACTTCTCTTCTGAGGATCTTCACTTTCAATGCTTCATAGAAAACAAGAAAAACCCTAAAAGCCGCCACTAGATCTAGAATTATTTGCAAGAAGAAGAGAGAGCTTTTTTGTGGCCTTGTGAGTCCTTTTATAGAAGTAACTGACTTTTAACAAGGATTAGATAGGCTTTAGGTCTTCTGGGGTCATCTGGGCCCGTCTGGGACGAATTAGGACTTAATTAGAATTAATCTTGTAACTTAGAAATCTGAGTTAACAGGAAAGACTTGAGCATGGAAACTTCTGCTCAAGCTTTCTGGCTAGTGCTCGAGCCTTTTAACTTGTACTCGAGTAGGAATTCCATACTTAGTCTTTTTTTTCCACTTAAATTTTGAAGTGTCTTTTTTATCAACACTTAGAATATTTTGGGACTTCTTCTTCAGGGTACTCGATCACCTTACTTGGGTACTCGAGTCTTTTGACTTATGCTCTAGCCTTTTGGGTTATGCTCGAGCCTTTTGATCTCTGCTCGAGCTTTGGCAACATGGGTCTTCTTAGGTGTCTTTTTATATTTCGAGGGAGTTTATGTTTGAGCCCTTCTGCAAAGGATCGAGCACCTTAAATCTTTGTTCGAGCCTTTTGGCTTTGGTTACTTTTCTTGCCTCAGTCAACTTTGTGCTCGAGCTCTGGAACTTGTGCTCAAACTTTTGCACTTGAACTTCTCCAAAATCACCATTTTGACTCCAAGTTTGATTCAGGTGATCGGGAACAACTCTGTAAGCTTCAAGATCAGTCTTTTAGTCTCAGAATTCCGATTTTATCCCTTTTTTTAGGAAAGTACCTACAAAAGCAACATAAACTAAAATCAATCTAAAGCTGGATAGAAGTACTACTTAAGGTCTTAACATATGCACGTTTAGGGGCTTGAATATACAAGATTCAACGCTCATCACCCACTAGTAGAGGATGAGAGGGTGGAGACAGCAAACATCAACTAGTGAGTAGAGAGAGAAGGATCCATTCATATGGACCCGCAGCATAGGAGGCTTGGACCGAAAGAAGAGGTGGAACGCGTTGAGGTTATCACTTCGTGGTAGAGAGAATAAACTGCAAACACAGTGTTCGACGAATTGCATCAGTCGAAAGTAAGCACTCATAACCAGAGGGCCACCAGGAAGCAACAACAACAACACGATTGAAAGGTGCCCCCAATGAACACCAAGGTTGTTTGGACGTTAGCTCGGATGGTCAATTATCCCTTTACAGAAGAGATTTTGTGATCCCCACAGCCCATAAATTTTTCAATGCCAATGTTCACCCTGTTCGACGAAACTAAGGATCTGACCGAGCATGTTTACTAGATCCAGTTGAAAATGGCTCTGGATACCGAAGATGATGCCCTGATATGCAAGGTCTTCCCAATGAGTCTTACTGACCAGCATTTAATTGGTTCAAGCACTTACCGAGGGGGTTGGTTGGAAGTTTTCGGGCACTTTCCGATCTATTCATAGGACAGTATTTCGGTAACCGGCGAATAGAGAATGATATATTATGTCTATTCACTATGCGATAATAAGAAGACGAATGCCTTCACGTTTTCCTCACCAGGTTTAATCTGAAAATGAGTATGGTGATAGATTGTTATCCATCATCAGTGGTGCAGGTGTTCAAACTGGCCATGATAAGAGGGACTCAATTTCACATATCCTTAGTGGTGACCTCGCCCAAGACTATGGATGAACTTAATTCAAGGGCATAAGGTTACGTGCAACTAGAAGAAGATGAAGCGGTCAATATAAAAAAGACAACAATGGTCACAGTAGAGAGCAAGTCCAAGGCCAAAATAGCCTCCTAGAGAACCCCAGTATCATAATCCTGAGTAATGTCGTAGAAGACCGAAATGAGGCAGTGAGAGGATGAGATTGTCAGCCCCCTGAAGGTCACTTTAGCACGGCTGTACTAGGAGAATAAAGGGATGTTTCGATTGCCCCAACCGATCAGGCAGCTGATTGAGCAAAGGGACTAATCAAAGTACTACACGTTCTATAGCGACTTTGGGCACCAAACAAATGAGTGCAGGAACCTGAGGAGGCAGGTTAAGATGCTGATTGCAAAAGGAGACTGATGAGCGCTGAAAAGTGCGCAATTAAACCCCTTAA